TATATTTATATCACAGATGTTTAGTAGGGATTGTTTCTTATACCAGGCTTCTGTTATCTACTAAGTCTGGGTAACCAATGCCACAATCTTATATCAAAAACCAAGGCACCCTGCTCCAAAGATTAAAAAACACTTTGGGTGGCTAGGCTAGAAAACAAATTACAGGCTCCTAGCCACTTTATTCTTTCTTTACTCAAAATGTCTCTGGGGTCCATGTAAAGCTAGGAAACAAAGTGGTAGGGCAGATGGAGGATTTGCTCTCTAGCTGTTCACTAAAAATTTCTATTAAAAAAAGGTAAAAATGCGGTTCAGCTACTGTCCACTAAGACTGGGGTACTGGAAAAGGAAGCAGTGAAAGTTTGTTTGCTTCTTTAAGCCTCACTAGTTTAGTGGGGACAAGGATTCTGATGTTTGCAATGCAAAATCTTCTTATGGAGCAAGTTATTTGTCTTGTGTAATCAGGCAAAGTTCACTGTCAGCCATTTTATTGATAGACTTATTTTGCCCCTTGACTGACTTATTTTTGTAGTACACACATTTCCCGATGTATTCCTACACTCAAGTAAACTGACAAAGATCACTGTGTAGGACATCACTACCTGGCTGTTCCCAATTTCAATGAGATGGACACAAATTTAAATAAGTATATGTCAAGGCAACGTCTGTAAGAAGCACAGAACAGAGACAATTATATAAATATGAGTGTGTGTGCATGTGTGCATGCATGTGCCACCTGTTGATCCCATTAATTTTCTAAGGTTTTCTTAGGCAAGGAATATTCAGAGGTGTTTTTGCCAGTTCCTTCCTCTGAAATAGAGCCTACAGCACCTTATCTTCACTGACCCTCTGCCATCTAAGGACTAACCAAGGCAACCCTGCTTAGCTTTCAAGATCAGACAGGATCTGTTGTCTTTAGGATACAGCTTGAGTTGCCCTTATCCAAAATGCTTGGGATCGCAGGTGTTTTGGATTTTGAAATGTTTTGGACGTTGGAGTACCTGTATATAAGAAGGTAATTTGGAGATGTCTTAACACAAAATTCATTTATGTTTCATATACAGTTTAAACACATAGCCCGAAGGTAATTTTATGGACAATATTTTTAATAGAACCATCAGAAAGAAAAGATGTCACTATCTCAGCCACTCATGAAAAAAAAATTTGGTTTCTGGAATATTTCGGATGACAGCATTCCAAATAAGGAAGACACAACCTGTTCCAACTGTAAATTGATAACAGAGCATGGCACAACTCCAATCGTTATTGCCAGCAAGCATTCATCCCAATGTATCAATGTCAAGTTTGTGGTATAGTGGTTTGAGTGCTGGACTATGACTCTGAAGCACAGGGTTCAAATCCCACTCAGCCATGAAAACCCACTGGATGGCCTTGGGCAAGTCACACTCTGTCAGCCTCAGAGGATGGCAATGGCAAACCTGCTCTGAAGAAACTTGCCAAGAAAACCCTGTGACATGTTCACCTTTGGGTCACCATAAGTCAAAAATTACAGAAATAATACAGACTCACACACACACACAGAGGTTGGTAAGTCAAGTCATCTATGTGAATTCTACTGGTTTTATGACTCTACTCTAGTTCAGATTTGGACTGGATTTAGAACTTTGACAATAATTATAAATTAATGCATTTGGGCATTATAGGAGCCAGCTCCATCCCAAAGTAAAGCATATTCTATAGGATTAAAAAAGTAATAATCTTTCAGTAAGCATTGCAGTGGCAAGAGCTGTTTCTTACAATACAGATCTCTGCAGAGAGGATTCACTTAGCTATGATATAAAGAGAAATGAAAGATACAAAAGAACATTATCTAAAATAATCAAAGAATAGATCAACTCTATTATGAAGAAAGGTTACCACATCTGGAGCTTTATAACTTCGAAAAAAAGAGGAGATACAAAAGAAGTATATAAAACTGCAAAATGTAGAGAAAGTAAATAGGGCAATGTGTATTTTCCCTCTGAAAAACCAGTTGAATAGTGGGAGATTGAGGCGAGAGTAAAGTATTTCTTCTCACAGTATCTATGGAATTTTTACAAGAAGTGGTGGAATTTGTATGGCAAGAGGTGGTGATAGTTGTCAAATTCAATTGCTTTAAAAGAGGATTAGACAAATTCATGGAGGATAAGGCTATCCTTGGTTCCTCATCATTCTCAAAAGGGAGATACTGAAGGCACAATTTCAAACCGTGCCAACG